TGGAAACCCTTTTGTTACATCCCTCATCCACCCTCTAACCAGAACCTGGAACGGAGATTTGATTCGTGCTTCCTTCACACCTGATAGTGTGAACTTGATTCTAGCCATTCCCCTCCCTTCAGCACCCCAGCCGGATAGACTTATTTGGCATTACTCGCCCACTGGTCAGTACACGGTTAAAACAGGGTATCAGTTGCTGTCGTCGGCTAGGCATCTTGAGTTTGACCAGCTCCCTCCCCACTTGAATACCAAGTTTTGGAAGGTGTTATGGAACTTACCCATTCCGCCAAACTCAAAGTTTTCTTGTGGCGGGTTGTGATAGGGTTCCTACCGTTGAAAACTATCCTCCAAGCGAAGTCTCTGTGTGATTTAAACGTCTGTCCAGTGTGTTCTGATTGTGCTGAAATTGTTTCCCATTGCCTCTTTTCTTGTAGGATTGTCCGTGAAGTTTGGTCTCTTGTAGGGAAGGGCGCTACTCGTGCAGCAATAGAACAAATGACTACTGATGTTGCTTGGCATGAACTATTTTTTAACTTACAACTCTCTAAAGTGGCTATTACGGATGTAGTTTTCCTCGCATAGAGGATTTGGTAAGGCCGCTGTTGGCCCGTTTACGACGGCATTCAGTACCTTCCTAGCCCTCTTTTTCGGCAGTACACAAGACAAGTGGAAGAATGGCGCGAGGCCACTGAGACACCGCGGAGTCACTCTCCTATTCCGAGGCAACCACGAACCCGCTAGTAGTTCCAACCTGTCCACCAGGAGGACTCCTAATCCGTTTTGATGGTGCAACACGGCGGGGTGTAGGAGGCATCATTGGATTTGTTGGCATTTCAGGAGATCGAGCTATAAAATATGCCTTCGGTAAGTTCTATGATGGCATTTCTGATCCGTTCCTCCTAGAACTCCTAGCCTTAAGAGATGCAATGAATTAGAGCTTACGCAATGGTTACTCTTCTGTTTGTTTTTGTGGTGACTCGCAACTGGTCATACGCCGAGCTTTGGAGAATGATACTAATCATGATCGAAGTGGAGCGGTGCTTGACGAAGTGCGGCTGCTGAAGACCTCTTTTACATTTATTCCGTTTGTCTATACTCCCCGTAGTACTAACAGGGCTGCCCATTGTGTGGCACAAAAGGCCTTGCATCGGTAGCAACCCTTTTAGTTGACTACCGCTATTTATTTTCCCTTACATTGTAATACTCTATCTATTACGAACTATCTATGAAAAAAAAAAAAAAAAAACACTCCACAATTCATTGCGTACACAATTAATATAGAACACTTGTTTCCACTTATTACTTGATTGGTGAATTCTTCTTCTTTGGAATTAAAAAAACGTGTGTGAATCTTATAAGCGACCCTAGAATCTAGATATTTCCATCTGGGGACACTAATTCTTGGAGTAGGGCAATGGGCATCCAAAAGTAGGTCAAATGTCAATGTGAATTCAGGTAACCCAACTGAATTAACAAGATCATAATAAGCACTAAAAGTTAGGTTGTTTTATCATTAAAAAAAGAAAATAGAGTTAGGTATTCTTTAACCTTTGGCAATTCATTAACTTGGTTATTGAAGTGACATCATACGGCACATATAACAATACATTAAACTAAAAAAAGAATACTATTGATGGGTGTGAGTGCCAATTAAATGGGACAAATATGGACACAAATTAGAAACGTATATGACCCTTAAAAGCGACCCCATTCATTAATTTTTAATGTACTTCAGCTGCTTCATTTTATATAGGGACCTTTTATCACACACCAATCTACTTTGACAAAATTATCAAACATGCCCTTCTGCTAAAATTTCCATTGAAAAAATCGTCAATCATGGTTGAAATGGGATTTAGACGACTGGACATCGGCAAATGAGAGCAAAAATATCAGTTTTGTCCCCCATTTTATTTCTCTGAGTCTCTTCGAAGTGAAATTATTTGAATTATTTGGCTATACAAAAGTACATGTTTGTGTCGCCCAAACCAAAGTTTGGCGTTGGTTAACCGTTTTTGGATGAAAATTTTAACAAAAGTACATGTTTGATAATTTTTACAAAGTACAGGGGCATGTTTGATGTAAAAAATAGTAAAGGGGCATGTTTGATAAAACATCATAGTAGAGGGGCATATTATACCTGTAACCCTTTTCTATAATCGCGTTGGAAACAATCTGGTTTGATGAATTATTGCACTCTTGTGAGTTTAATGAATGTTAACTATGAATCGGAATTAGCCACCTTGAATGGGTTTGTTAAAAACTTAAAATCATTAATGGTGTGTTTGGATAGAATGATTTGGATTTGAATTTTTAAATGTCAAATTATTTGTTTGGATATCAATTACATTAAGTGTTTGGATTTGTGTCAAATTCATGTGGTGATTTTCAAATGCATGTCTAGTGTATTACTTGTCAACTTCAAATACATTTTAACAACTAGTGATTTGAATTCCTCCTAATAAAAGATTGGACATTTTTGTAAAATTTTAAAGGTTTAGGTACTATAGTGTGAGACAAACCATATAAAAGTACCACAATGTAAGTTTACCATCAAAATTTTTGGACTTCTTTGTAAAATTTTAAAATTTTTGGTAGTAAATCATAAGAAAAAATTAATTTGAGTACCAAAATATAGTTTACCAAAACCCATTCATTAATTTTTAATGTACTTTTCAGCTGCTTCATTTTATATAATCGCGTTGGAAACAGTCTATTGTCTTGTTTGGTTTGATGAATGATTGCACTCTGGTGAGATTAATGAATGTTAACTATGAAGCGGGCTTAGCCACCTTGAATGGGTTTGTTAAAATCATTAACGGTGTATTTGGGTTTGCATTTGGATTTTTAAATGTCAAATCATTTATTTGATATCAACTACATTTGTTATTTGGATTTGTGCCATATTAATGTGGTGATTTTCAAATATATTTCTAGTGTATTACTTGTCGAACTTCAAATACGTACATTTCAACAACTAGTGATTTGAAATTCCTCCTAACAAAAGATTGGACATTTTTGTAAAATTTTAAATTTTAGGTACTATAGTGTGAGGCAAACCATTTAAAGTACCACAACGTAATTTTACCACCAAAATTTTTGGACTTTTTGTAAAATTATAAAATTTCAGGTAATAAATCACAAGAAAATAAATTTGGGTACCAAAATTTGTAATAAGCGACCACAAAATTCAAATTTAAAAAAAATCATAAAAACTGAAATACAACAAATTATAAATGAGTACCCAAACAACGAATTTGAATTACATGCATTTCAAATGCTAGTATTTCAAATTCATGCATTTTAGGGGTTGTTTGGTATATGCGTATCTAAACGATGTATTTAATGGATGCATGTATTGTATAGAATGAATTTGATTGATGATGTGACACTTGGAATTATTCAATATGAATGATTTACAATCTCAACTATTTTGTGAGATTATTGAGATTGTGTTTTGAGATTGTTCTTCCATTTTTCTTTTCCTTTATATCCCTATCAACGGTTATGCATTGTTACACTTGTATGTGAAAAAAAGGGTAAACATAACTTTTCACTTAAAAAGTTATTTTCTCTTTTCATTTCTAAAATTACAATAAAAACTACCAAACAATGTAATCTTAAAATACATGCATTTAGACATTATATCAATTTACAATGCAAATATTCATACAATACATCAATTCTAACAATCACTAATATCAAACAACCTCTTAAATACATATATTTCAAATACCTCTATCCAAAGGCATCCTAATAAATTCATTGCGTTCTTATGGCATTGTGAGATTATACGATAAAAATCTAAAACAATGTGTTTTCTAGAGAGGGAGGATTCTATAGACCTTCTTTATTGAGATGTTCGATGCATAAAGGATTTGATGAACTATAGGTGATTTTATTTGCCACACGAATACGATCAACCTAACATATTGGCGCACTTTAGGGCATAGATTCCACAACCTAATTCTTTTGCCAAGATACCCCCCTTCACCAGCTTGTCAAAGATAAGGAGCACAAAGCTTGGTGATCCACCACCCAATTAATGACCAAAAGGACGTCCTTTATGAATTGGAATCGCTAGGAGATCAATTACCTCAAGTTTAGTGCATGAAAAAATAAATATCTTTGTCCAAATTCAATATTATATGCCATTAAACCTAGACCAACAACAATAGGTCTTGTAGTTTGTGTTAATGTCGACGTCAGATTTCTTGCTACAAGTATTGAGAGAAGGTTAAAATCACTTTACATCGCGACCTTTGCTAGTGATGCCGATCCCCACCACATCGTGTAAAAGGTCCGTGGGCCGATCACAGTGAGGACACCCTCTGAAGTCCAAGTTAGTATCGAGTGGTGAGCTGAGGGGAATAATGAAACTAAGGACTTAGTGTAGAAGAGGATGGTCTAGGCGAGTGGGAGTACTAGCTGTTGATAGTAGCAGGCTCTCTAAGGTGGCTCGTCGGGACCTTTTTTGATTACCTTTGTCAGAAGATAAGGGATGACTTTTATAGTGATCGTCCGTGGGACAATAGAGGACACGACGCGACGCTGAGGTGTAGGGCCGATGCATCGCTAGAGGAGGTGTTGTCGCCTCAAGCGTCCGCTCGCCCTACGTACAAATCTAAGCGCTCAAGCCCAGTGAGATGACACGGTTCAACAAGGGTGTCACGTAAGAGAGAAGGCATGAGCAAAGGCAACGAGCGCAAACATCGCAAGCGGTAAGCGTCGTGGGTGGTGTGCACCGTGAGCGACGAGCGGCAAGTACTTGCGAGCATCGTAGGCAGTGAGCATCGGGGACAATAAGCACAGTGATGTAAAGTAAAAAATATTTTTACCTGAGATTGAGTTTGTCTTGAAACGGTGGCGATTGATAGCAAATTTTTTGGCAAAAATCAGCAAAGTAGATTCACCTGCCCAAGTTGCAAACAAACAATGGTCAAATGCATGGATTCATTCCCGGAATCAACCTTTTTCCCATTCAACAGCTTCAGACTTATCCCTGACCACAAAAAGAAATTGTAACCATCCGTCACAAGTTAGTAACCGCTGGTTGTGAGTGAGTTTTTAACTTTTAATCAAATTCAACAGAGCAACGACACCCCCACTCCTTTGGCGTGTCCGCAATGGAAAGGGAGAGAGTAATCAAAATTCAAAAAAACTGGGCCGTGTAGTTTTCGTTGTCTTTGTCTGCCTGGCGGAATTGCGAGGGAGACCCTTTTAAGCTCAACTACTTAAGGCCAGCGGCAGTTACCTTTAAGAAACCAAATTCCCCCTTTCTCTCTCTCCCCCTCATTCCCTCGTTTCAACAAATCACACTTCCTACCCCCTCCTGTTTCTCCGGATTCCGTTCCACAACAGCGCCCTTCCTAAATTCACTCGCAACCCCCAATCGGAATCCTCGCACGCCGTCTCGGCGGCAGGAATTCCGAAATTCCCCTCTTCCCCTCCACTCCACAGTCTTTCCCGCCGGAATCCTCGTGGCTCCTTCCACAGCTCACGAGTTCGACGAGGAGCAGGAGACGGTTCCGCAATTGATGACCGGATGATGACGGCGGCAGAGGAAGAGTACGGAGCCGGCGATGAGGCGGAATCGCCGTACCTGTTCGGGAAATACGAGGTCGGGAAGCTGCTGGGATGCGGGGCGTTCGCCAAAGTGTACCACGGCAGGAACGTGGCGACGGGGCAGAGCGTGGCCATCAAGGCCGTCAGCAAGCGCAAGGTCCAGAAGGGTGGGCTCGCGGCGCACGTTAAGCGGGAGATCTCTATCATGCGCCGCCTGCGCCACCCCAACGTCGTGCGCCTCTTCGAGGTCCTCGCCACAAAATCCAAGATCTATTTCGTGATGGAGTACGCCAAGGGCGGCGAGCTCTTCTCCAAGGTCGCCAAGGGCCGCTTCTCCGAGGACCTCAGCCGCAAGTACTTCCAGCAATTGGTCACCTCCGTCGGCTACTGCCACGCCAGGGGAGTCTTCCACCGCGACCTCAAGCCGGAGAACCTCCTCCTCGACGAGAACTGGGACCTCAAGGTCTCCGACTTCGGCCTCAGCGCCGTCCAGACACAAATCGGCTCCGACGGCCTGCTCCACACCTTGTGCGGGACCCCTGCCTACGTCGCCCCCGAGATTCTCGCAAAGAAGGGCTACGACGGCGCCAAGGTCGACATCTGGTCCTGCGGTGTCATCTTGTTCGTCCTCGTCGCCGGCTACCTCCCTTTCAACGACACCAACCTCATGGCCATGTACAAGAAGATTTACAAGGGTCAGTTCCGCTGCCCCAAATGGACCTCGCCGGACCTCCGCCGCTTCCTCTTCCGCCTCCTCGACGCCAATCCGGAGACGAGAATCACCGTCGACGAAATCCAGCACGACCCCTGGTTCAGGAAGGATTACAAGGAGGCGAGTTACTACCAGGTGGTGGAGGGTTTTGATTTGAAGAAAGAGGACGGCGGCGAGCGAAGCCTGAACGCGTTCGACCTTATCTCGTTCTCCTCCGGCTTTGACCTCTCCCGCCTGTTCAACGAGTCCGGCGACGACACGTCCGCCTGCGGCGAGCAGTTCGTGTCGGTGGAAACGCCAGAGAGAATCATGGAGAGAGTGGAAGAGGTAGCTAAAGAGGAGTGTGTGACGGTGACGGAGAGGAGGAAGTCGGGGCTGAAATTGGAAGGGCGGAATGGGAATTTCGTCATGTTGCTCGAAATTTACCGCTTGACTGAGGAGCTGGTGGTGTTTGAAGTGAGGGAAAAGGAGCTAAACGTGGTGTCCGGTCAGGAAATCTGGAAGTACAGGCTAAAGCCGCAGCTCCGCCGGTTGGTATACCAGGCCGGAAGCGCCGTCTCCGGTGCCTGACAGGAAAAGGAATTGTGACCACTGACCAATGTGGTGGATTAAAAATGTGGAATCTGGCATCAAAATTACAGGCTAATTTGGGGATTATTAATGCCCATTTCTGTCCCGGGTTGTGTAAATGATTTTTGCCCGGTGAACAAGTTAATTATTATAGTTATGGGAATTGGAATACCAATTCATGATCATGACTAATTATCTATCTGCGTCCTGTATCAGATCTCTCTGTTTGTCGTCTATACTATTCTATGCGCTATATCACAAGAGAAGAGAAGAGAAGAGAAGAGAAGAGGTCTCGGCGGTACAATCAAGTGGTACTTTGGCATTTAATTTGCTGGTTTCGGTGTAGTTTCATGTTCCTTGCATTGGGTCTCTTTTTGGTTGTGCAGCGAGCGCAAAGAGAAAATCAACCAATTCCTTTGTCGTTGCGTCACACTGTGTGAAACTGAAATGGGCAACCCTTTGCCATTTTCCCGTGCATTTCTTGTCAAAGTATAGAAAGGGAGGGTAGGCACTTTCTCACTTTGCATCTAACCTGTTTGATAGATTGCCTAAAAGGGAAGAACAACAGCCTAGGTTAGTCGCTTGTCAAAAATAACTGCTCCCAGATCGAGTCCTGACTTGAGATAAGCAAATTCTTCCTGGAACAGGAACGTCATGTGTGTGTTAATACATTAAAAATCCCAAGCTTCCTCTAATTAGTTGATGTGTAGGATTACTAGCCGAATTTGGTTGTGGTGCATGCATCTGTTCATTCATAAGGCTGTGGGTTGTTGGACGCAAAGGCCGGCCTAACGGTTGTTATGATTTAAAGTCGTATTATCTGCCGTCAACTGAAAGTCACATAATACAAAATTATGCATATTTGTTCTTTCCTCTCCAGATTGAATTAGGATTTACGCATGTTCGGAGATTGTGTTATATATACATTCTCATTCATTATAATATTTTTCGTTTCCTTCTAAAACTAAGGTAACCACATGCTTAAGCCAACCTTAAGAACATGGAAATTGAGTTTGGGATAAAAACCAAAATTCTGATTGGAGAACGTAACCTTTGTCATTTCAGTTATACATATATGTACAGTAAACAACGACAGATGGATAATCAATAATACGCAATATGTAATCCAACGAGGTCGACGCATGTATACCCAAGGGCGGATACATGGGACACCCCTAAAATTTCGGGAAACGATTATCCAACCTCCGATAGTAGTTTCGTATGGGTATACAAAATATAATTGGTAATCCGGGACACTCTAACATTTGAAAAAATGATTATCCTACCCTTGATAATAGTTTGCTTATGATTAACAAAATATGGTAGTCCGTGTTATTCCAACCTAGGACACTACTATTATCAAACATATTCTAATTATGTTGCTACTCATTTGTTATTCTATTTTAAACATCATGCAACAGTAAAACACTATTTCTTTATCCCCAACTATTTTCAATACCTAATAATTAAACTACGTACACGCTACCCTTAATTTTGAATTGATTTTATGGTTACACGGCAAGTGTTGAAAGAGTCTTTTCTACTTTGAGCTACATTAAGAACAAGGTTAGAAATCGAATTTGTGATAAGTTCGTGAAGTATTGTCTAGTAGGATATGTAGATTTTTTTTTGAATAGTGCATACACGGAGTTTATTTATATTATTTTTTCAAAATATGAATTTTAATTTATTATTTAATAAAAAATGTATACAAATTATACAAGTATGATATTTTTAATACACGAATTATTTAATTTATTATATAATTAAATTAATTTTTTGAAGAGGACACCCCTATGAAAATTTTCTGAATCCGACCACCACATTTCACCACCGGAGTCCGGAGTTGAAGCACCTATCAAAGAGACGATGAAGGAAGCAGTAATAAGTGCAGAGGAAGGTACGCGGAAGAAGCAGGAGGAGCATGGGAGGGGACTCCAAGCCAAGCCAAGCCAAGAATGAAAGGAAGGCATGGTTATCACTTATCAAGAGCGGTATGTACTGTATTTGTCCCCTTCGTCCGTAGTACTTATTGGTTGTGTGGTTGTGAGCTGAAGCTGAGAAGAAGACATGTGACCATCCACCTTGGCCATGAGCGCTTGCCAAAGATCTTACCAGAAAGGGATCACTCAGTAGCTGTGAATGAACGTGCATCGTACAATATCCAGCAGAGCCGAAGTTGCATTTCTTCAGAACTAATCGAAAACAAAAAACAAAAGTATAATTATTAGTTCTCTGAGGGACAAATGATGACCGCACATTAACATGGTAATGTTGGTTTCGATTGATTTAATATAGTATTTTGTTTAATAATGTAGACATTATTTTGATCTTACGTCTTGTTGAAATGATGCTAGTAGACGGAGACAAAACCCGAAAGAAAGCCCACCTAATGGGGCCATTTGATAACTACAATTATTGATAGGTAAGTGCAGGTCATTATCATCAAGCCTTTTTATTTTTTTCCTTCTTTTTCTTCAGCCGGCTTATAAAATTCAACCCCATCAATCGGAATAAATCAATTGGCCAATAATCCAACAGCGCATACGATACGACGAATATATAGTCGACCTCCCACACCCACAAATGCACCTACTATTTTTTCCCTATATATTTAAACCCCTACCAATTAAAATTATATTTTTTAGTAAAATATCTTTCTCATTCATGTGAAATCTTTTTATTTTTATTATTCCGTTTCCACCGTTGCTGCTTCACACGGCCATTTGCAGCCACGAACCTTCTGAACCCAGCTTTTTATGGTATAATAATAATCTATGCCTCAAAAACATATAATTGGTTGGCTCTTCAGAGTTCAGAGGGATTAACAATCAGCAGTTATTTAGGCTAGGGGAAGCTGCATGACTTTTTCTTTAATCTGGATGTTAATTACCACGTTTGGTTGAGTAAACAAATACAGGCTAAAAATGTGATGAAAGTGACTTTGGGGGATGGGTGGCCAAAACTTAAGAAACAAAAAGAGTAAGAAAAGATGTAGATTATCTAATCTTATATTGATGAGGATGTGACTGGTGGCGCCGTGGTTACGTGGCGGTGGTTGGGTTCTGAATATTCAATGAATACTATTAATGATGACGGTAGATTTGGAATCTCCGTTTGGGGTTGGCCGGTGTCCTTCGTCGTCATTGTTGATGAGATGATCAAGCTCCATTCAAACTTCTCGACTCGGTTTGCAGGAGGCTCAAAGAAGCTGTACTCGGAGAATACCTTGTATCACGGTGGAATTGGAAATGGTTTTCCATGAATTTCCTTGTGTTTAATATTTTTTTTTTTATATATGGATACATAATATCTCAGCCTTCGTTCAAAACCAAATGGGGTACGGAGAGCCCTGTAACTTGTACATAATTCAGGATACAAGAGTGGAATCATCCACGGAAAAATGGTAAAAACCTAGAGGCATCCGATGTCCTCGACTAGCAATATAATTTCCTTGAACCTAGAGGCATCTGATGTCCTCGACTAGCAATATAATTTGCTTGTGTTTATTGCCTGAACGATATATCTCCCTAACAGAAAATACATACATAACGGTGGAATTGAAATGGGTTTCCTTGTGTTTATCACTGACTGTTTCGGCTAGGGTTTGCTATACAGTCCAGTTCGATTACTGGATCCAATTGAGCCAGTTCCGATTCGGTGATTTTGGGAATATGGAGACAAAAGACAGGATTGGGTACAGTCCGGTTTTGACAAGTCTGATCTTATCCAGTCCTACTCCCAACTCGGTTTTGACCCGGACTGCCACTGCCAACATTGGGTCTCTGCCTAGTGCCCACTACCGACACTATATCCTACCCATAACTTTCCATCTTATTAATTTAATTAAATATATATAACAAAAAGAGCCAATTCCCTCAACATTGGGTCTTTGTTACAACTCATTTTTCTTCCCCGCAAATTCCACAATGGATTTCGCGCCACCTTCGCTAACTGGAATGTCTGTTGTCTTCGATGCCCTCTCCTTCCATTCCTTTCTCCCATGGCTGAAGCTCCCAGATCTGCCCAATTATTCCGCTAACTTGAGTAAATTTTCCTCATCTTTTCACATGTTTAGGAATTAGGCGGTGACGGGCTATGGAAGTAAAAAGGGAAGTAAGAGAAGATCATGTTCGGATGCGGCGGACCGGGGTACTGATGAGGATACGCCCACTAAATAATTGTTTTATTTATTCTATTAGTAGTGGTTAGACATGTACGCAGTGGCTCCTTGATTATAGCCACTTAGGTTTGATTATAGTTGTACAAAGAGTATATAATTCAACTCTCCTAATCAATACAAATCACAACATTCAAGTGTTCACATGGTATTAGAGCATTGACTCCGATTTCCTTAACCCCCTTTCCTAAAATCTCGACTGTAATCTCCCTTCTCTATCTTTCTCACTCTTATTCAATTTTTTCGTCTCTGTACTGCAGCGCCTAGAGCCGCATCTTCTCTTCTCCAGTTTTTTTCGTGGCCTTCTCTTTCTCAATATGTCAGGCGAATCTGTAATTAATCTTGATGAATCCAACACCAACATCACCTTGAATCCAGTCTCTCAGCTGCCAACCAAGCTCACCAGAGAAAATTTCTTACCTGGCGGGCGCAACTTTTGACTCTTCTTCGTGGCCTGGATCTTCTCAAGTTTTTGGATGGTACTCATCCCGCTCTGGCCGCTACTGCTGAGGCCGCTGATCGCCGTCGCTGGTTCAGGCAAGATCAATTGATCCTTCATTCCATCCTTGCATCCCTGTCTCCTGGAGTTGCTCCCTATGTTTCTGCTGCTGGCTCGTCTCGTGAGGCGTGGACAATCCTCGAGCGTATGTTTGCTAATCAGTCTCCTCAGCGCGTCATAAATCTCAAGGAGAAATTGGCCGCGAGAAGCAGGGAAATCGACCAGTTTCTCTCTATCTCCAGACTCAACTTTCAACCGCGGTTGAACTTGCCCTCATCAATGCACCTATCTCAGATGAGTATCTCACTCTGCACATTTTTTGTGGTCTACATGATGAATATAGCCAACTCTCTGCCGCGCTCCATGGGCGTGACACACCTCTTGCCCTCGCTGACCTTCATGATCGCCTTGTGGATTTTGAGGCTGATCTCGCAGCCGTCCAAAGGCTGCCCTCCACTGCACCCACCACGACCTTTTCTTGTGTGTGTGGGAGGGGTTATTCTCGTCCTTCTGGTGGGAATCGATGGGGCTCACCAAATTCTAATTATTATGGCCATGACACATCGTCCTTCTTGCGTGAGGCTAGTCCACGCCATATTCGAGGTCCTCCCTCTCCTCGTGCTGTTGCTGGCTATTCCTCCAGTCCTCTCGCTCCATCACTTCTAAGACGCCCTTACCTGCAGTGTCAGTTTTGCGATAAACCTGGCCACACTGCCAAGGACCGCTTCTGTATCCAAGGACGTCCACAGACTCATTATACAGCCGCCCACCCCTCTTCTTCCAGCGGCTGGCTGGTTGACTCTGCTGCCACCAACCATATGACACCAGACCTTGGTAATCTCTCTCTGTACTCGGATTACAATGGTCCCGATGAAGTGCTCATTGGCGATGGGACATGTATGATTATCAATCATGTTGGCAATTGACATTTATCTTCTTCTATGACGCGTCTGGATCTCAATAATGTTTTGTGTGTTCCTGCTATCAAGCGTCGATTGCTCTCTATTTCTCAACTTTGTAAGACTAATCCGGTGTCTGTGGAATTCCTCTCTGATTTTTTTGTTGTGAAGGATCTAGCAACGGGGGCGTATCTACTACGAGGCCAGAATAAAGGGGACGTCTATGAGCTTCCGGTGGAGTCTCAACCAGTTCGACTTGCTATGTCGGCGACAAGGGTGTCCTCAGCTGTGTGGCATAATAAACTTGGCCATCCTCACCTCAAGCTTCTCTCCTGTGTACTGCGTAAACAGTCTCTACATGTCTCCTGCCATTTTCAGTTTCTAGCCTGTCCAGTACACGGCCATTTGATTTGTTATACATGGATGTTTAGGGGCCTTTGCCCGTTCTTTCTCATGATAATTTTTCATATTACTTAGTCATTGTTGATCATTTGATACGCTATACATGGCTATATCCGCTCTCTCGTAAATCTGACGTCCATCATGTGTTTACCACTTACAAATCCATGATTGAAAATTTCTTTCACACTACCATTTGTCGTGTTTATAGTGATGGTGGTGGTGAATTCCAAAAACTATGTTCTTTTCTCTAAACCAATGGCATCACTCACCTTCTCACACCACCTCATACCCCAGAGAACAATGGACTAGCCGAACGTAAACACCACCATATCGTTGAAACCGGGCTTGCTCTACTTCACACTGCTCAGCTGCCTCTTCGCTTCTGGTCCAATGAATTTCAGACTGCCACTTACCTGATCAATCTCCTTCCCTCCACTGCCCTAAATGGTCACTCTCCGTACTTCTCCCTGTTCAATGAACACCCTAACTGTCTCAAACTCCAAGCCTTTGGCTGTGTTTGCTATCCTTGGCTCCGTCCTTACTCCGCCAACAAACTTGCTCCTCGATCTCGTCGTTGTTTATTTCTTGGATATTCCCCGTCCTAGAGCGCTTATCAATGCTATGATCCCTCCTCTCGGCGCTTATTTTTTCCCCTACATGTTCACTTTGATGAAACTCACCTGCCCGGTCTTACCTCTCCTGCCGACCCTCATTATGAATCCCCAGATTGGATTGCAATCACATCTCCTCCTGTTACACGACTTTGCTTACCACAACCGATCTTACTGCAGCAGCCGTCTGACAGCTCCCCGCCGACACCTTCTCCGGCTCCTCAGCGTTTCCCTGGTCTCACCATGGCTGCGTCTCCCGCTGCATCCTCCTCACACGGTGGTCCTGTTCCTCCGCCGCCCGTCAAGGTTCTTCATCGCCCTGTTACTCGTAGCCAACATGGAATTTTCAAACCAAAGAGATTATTTGTTTCACAGGTGGGCTCTTTTCTTGAACCAACTACGATCAAACAAGCCCTAGCAGATCCTCGTTGGTCTGCGGCAATGCGTGCGGAATTTCAGGCCCTTCTCGATAATTATACATGGACACTTGTTCCCCGCTCTCTATCACATAATATTGTTGGGTGTCGCTAGATTTTTCGTATCAAGTGTAATTCTAGTGGCATTATTGATCGGTTTAAAGTCAGGCTAGTGGCCAATTATACAGTTCAATGTTAACAATGCGTTCTTGCAGGGTTCTTTGACTGAAACAGTCTATATGGAGTAACCCATTGGGTTCTGTGATCCTCAATTTCCCGATCACGTCTGCTGTTTGTCTCGAGCGATTTATGGTCTCCGCCAGGCTCCTCGCTCCTGGTACTTGGAGCTGTCTCACTTTCTTGAAGGGGAAGGCTTTGTCGTGTCGAAATCTGATGCATCTTTATTCATCTATCACAAGGGTTTGGTTATTCTATATTTTCGGATATATGTTGATGATCTCTTGCTCACAGGAAATCATGCTCCTACATTAGCTAGCTTTCAAGCTTGTCTTGCTGGCCACTTCTCTCTCAAAAGCCTCGGTAATGTCGGATATTTCTTAGGCATTGAGGTCCTTCTCACACCGGATGGTTTTCTGCTGTCTCAACACATATACATACAGGATCTCCTGGATCGTTTTGGGATAGTGGATTCTCACCCAGCTCCCACGTCGTTGGAATCCACTGCGAGGTTAATGCTTGATGATGGTTCTCCTCCTGCGGATGTAACTCTCTACAAGCAGGTTATTGGTTCTCTTCAATATCTCCTTTGTACTCGTCCGGATATTGCCTTCGCGGTCAATAAACTCTCCCAGTTCATGCATGCCCCATCCCATCTTCAGTGGCAGCATGTAAAGAGTCTTCTCCGCTATCTCAAAGGAACATCCACACTCGAGCTCACTCTTTCCTCGGCTGCTCCTTCTTCCATTGTTGCCTTTGTTGATTCTGAGTGGGCTGGGGACCCGAATGATCGTACTTCTAGAATGGCCTATCTTATCTATTATGGCGGCAACCTTGTCTTTTGGAAATCGAAAAAGCGGCGCTCTGTGGCTCACTCTATTACGGAGGCAGAGTACCATGCCACATCAGAGATCTTGTGGTTTCAACAGCTGCTTCTTGAGTTTCACCACCCAGTCTCGTCTCCACCTACGCTCTACTGTGACAACCTTGGTGCGGTGAACTTTTTGGAAAACCTTATTCATCACTCGAGGATGAAGCACCTCCCCCTTGATTACCTATTCATTCGTGAGCTGGTCTAGGAATCTTCACTTCGTGTCCTCCACATTCCCACTTCGCTGCAGCTCGCGGATGATTTGACCAAACCGCTGCCCATTGCTCGCTTCCAGCTACTTCGATCCAAGATCGGTTTTGCACCCGCCACTGTCTTGCGGGGGCGTGATGAGGATACGTCCACTAAATAATTGTTTTATTTATTCTGTTAGTAGTGGTTAGACATGTACGTAGTGGTTCCTTGATTATAGCCACTTAGGTTTGATTATAGTTGTACAGAGAGTATACAATTCAACTCTCCTAATCAATACAAATCACAACATTGAAGTGTTCACTGGTAGTACGTGTACGGCGGCGGGCGGCAGTTTTACGTCCGATGTCGCCTCCTCCGATGTTCCCCTTCGACGAAGGTGCGTACGTACATAGTATCCGGCAGTTGATGACGGCAACCATGGCTGGGAGTAGTAGTCATGACCAAAATCAATTGTTTGGTGCAGTGGATGATGCAGTAGTGCAGCAGCAGCGACGTGGGAGGACGCCCATGTTCCTGTGGATCCTACCACTGCCCGCAGAACACTAGTAGCGCCTTGTTTGTGGATAGTGCGAGTGTTACACCCCGACCTTTGGGTTCAGGTTCGACCATAATACGTAAACAGTTGGATTAACGGTTACGTACTAAGGATTGCAACCGCGGAATAATAATAATAACTATTATAATAATAATTATTTATTAATTAAAAAAAATAATAGCGGCCCTCCCAATTATTTCCCCAAATCAACCGCCAGCATGAATAAACCCAAACCCCCCAGAAACCCTCTTCCCAAAGCAGCACTCCCCGCCGCCATGCTTTTGTTGCCCCGAAGAGAGATAGAGACCGCTGCTAAGCAACGGATTGGAAGTAATTGGATTGGAGCGTTGCTAGTGGGCAGCAGCTCGGATATTGAAAAGGCAGGCCGCGAAGCTCTCGATTATGCTAGGGACTTGGAGGATATTCGACCGCAGCTAGCTCCGTGGATTCAATCTTTCCCCCACCTACGAGCAGCAAAGAGAAGCGCCAGCAGCAATGTCCTTGTGCCTAGCATCGCCATCATTGGGATCATACAGGAGAAAGCGAAATTTGACCATCCTCATGCAATCGGTTACAGGTTAAATCAAAGGCTTCCCCCTTGCAATTCAATCACTACACTTGCATGGGTTATTGCAATAGATGGAAGTCCATTAACATTTCTGGGAATGGTATACATGGATGGATGGATTAGGTGATGTGGGGTATGACAAAAGAAGATGGAAAACAAGAAGTGATGGAGGAGGAAGTAAAATTGGATCTGTCAACTTGATCAACCAATTAGGTGAGTGTAAAGGGGGTAAATTCTACGCCTTACGTTTTCTTTTAAGTATTATGATTGTAAGTATTTTAGTGAATTGGTTACTGTTGCTTGATTAAGTTTATGATTGATTATTTGTGCCTTGCTTGAGCTATGATTGAGGTGTTTTTGTGCTATTTGATGTGATTTTGTTTGAGCTATGCTTGAAGTGAATGTTAATTAATTACTTTGGAACTTTACGAGTATAAGTTATTATTAAAGTTTAAGAAACAAGTTCTTTTCAAAGAAGTAACTCACCTTCAAGAAGGTGAAGTCGTTTTAAGTGTTTTTAGTCACTAGCGTCAGTCCGTTGCCATTTGAGATTTTCAGATAGAGCAGCAGTTATGCTCTTGAGACTTTTAAGATGAGCAGCAGTTATGCTCTTGAGAATCGTGGTGAAGAGCCACCACGATAAGTTTAAGATGTTAGGGGGATGAATCGTTACGACTTCCCTAACTAAGTTTAAGGAAAGCCTGAATGGCTTCTCATACGTATGAGTTGGCAACCGGACTAGCTAGTGAGGGATCCTTGTGTCAGTCAAGTATTTAAGTCAAGATTTGAGCTTTAAGAGAGGAGAGTAACTTCAACTCCCTCAAAGTTTAAGAGTTAAGATTTTAAGATTGGAAGTACAAACAACTTCCACCAGTTAAGTGTTTAAGTAAAGTACTCAAGTATTAGAAGTATTAAAAACGTAAGGGCGTAGACTCACCCCATCTCACTCACCAGGACTTAGTAAAGGACCAAGCGAGAACTAGATCGATAGTTGCAGCTAGAGGAGCAGTTAGAGAGCAGCGAGATCGAGAGAAACAGTTCGGGGGAAGCTAGCTAGAGGAGGACGGTACAAGCGTCACAAAGGATGTCTAGTCAGAGTTTCACACAAGCAACAGCACTTGAGACTAATTAGTTATGATGTTTTATGATTATGAGTATAGATTGGAGATCAAGTTGAGTTTTTAAAGTTTGTGTTTAATTTGCCCACATGTTAGGGCTTTACTTTGAACTACAAGTGTGTGTTTTTGGTATTTTATTTATTTAAATTTTTCACAGTTGCAATTTAAGATTTGAGTATTTTATTTATCAAGGGCATTTTAGTAAAAGTAGTACCCGGCCGGGTTAGGGTGTTTCAGCGAGGGCTGATTAGCCTTTTATCCGGTCATACGGTTTTGACCCAGTTTTAACACAAATTGGATTGATCCGGGTTTTTAGTTATTTCAGAGACCAAAGACAGGATTGGATTGTTTTACATACGGTCCCAGTCTCAAACGATTCGTGTTTATACGGTTCGGGTTTGGGTTAAATTGGAAAACCCAGACCAAATAGCCAGCCCTAGTTTCGGCAACAATTTTGTTTCCTGCTAGCTTATTTCTAGCGTCCTTGTCGTGATTTTTTCTACATAGCAAGAAAATGAAACAAGACACACGAATTTACATAGTTCACTAATACGATATGTGTTAGCTAGTCCACGGGCAAGGGAGAGCCAGTTTCACTATACTTTTAGAAGATACGTATTACTGAGGAATATAAAAAGTAATTATACTACTTCTCCATGTGGTCTAACCCTAATCTAATATGCTAAAGAACACAGTTACAGACCAGGCCCCATGACTTCCCATCTTAGTCAGATAATCTTATTTAATTCATATCAACAAATCTTCACCTTGACTTGAATCCCGCTTCTGAAATCTCTAATGTATATTGGTACTTCTCTCCTTCCTAATTAATGACCAAAAGGTCGTCCTCATGAATTGGAATCGCTAAGGGGATCAATTATCTCAGGTTTAGTTTATGAAAATAAATTTCCATGTCCAAAATCGTTACGAGGCATGGAATATGCTTCGAATGCAACTTGCTTCTTAGCCTTCATGCCCTTCAAGGTCAATAGTAAATTCCATAAACCATATACAAACAACAGTAGCTCTTGTGGTTGCTTTTCAAGGGTGGCGATTGACGGTAATTTTTGGTAGAAATCAGCAAAGTGAATTCACCCTCCCTTGTAGTAAAGAAACAATGGTCAAATGCTTGGAATCAACATTTTTCACACTAGCTTATTACGTTGGCCGAAATATTTATATTTGATTATTCATATTTTTATATTACGTTTAAATCTATCAACCCGTTTAATTTTATTGACAATCCTTCGATCGCAATGATACATAAAAAAGGAATATATATGTCGAACATTTGGAGAAATACCATAATCATTTAACAATATAAATATAAAAATTATAATTGATCCTATATTCATAATGATAATTAAGCCCCCGTTAAAATGCTACTGATAGGTTGATTGTCAAGAAAGATAGACTATAAAAGCTCAGCGAAATTCTCACACGACCTATAGATAGTTTGAAATTGAATATGAAACCTCAGAATTCTACATAAAGGGTTCAATGCTCTCCTTTTAGGAACAATATGCCACTAATCAAAAGGAAATGGAGAGTTATTGATTCAAGTCAACTATATACTAACAACTCAGCTAAGAGGGGACCGTCAGAACTTGAGAGCAAATGATAAATTAGGGTTATCTCCAATATACTAATAGACTCAATCAAAGTAATAAGGCACAAAATTAGATACTCGTAATCTATCAGTTTCAGTAGGTTGAATAAAGAATCGACGTACTTTAGTAAATCAATCAATGATTCCTCATTTTAAGATAGAATTAGGTTGTGGTAGCTGCAAACCCATAACCTAAAGATCCAATAGCCACCACTCTCCGTAGTACAAACAATTTTTATCTACTCTATCTTCAATCTCAAGAAGCATTATTTTTACCAAAAATTTCTTTCTAATTATCCTTCTACAACTCCATTTCTGCTACTTTGATGGACCTTCTCTCTGTGGCCCTCAATTTCTCTTCTGATTGGGGTTTTGTCAACTCGCTCTTTGATAGGGCAAAAGCGTATAGCTTCAATTCCTATCTTGTAGTAAAACCGGAAATCCGGGTATCGTCTCTCAGGGACTGGTACAACCTTATGATTTATCAATTCTTTCAGAGCAAACTATATGTGAAAATGTTTAAGAGATGAAATTATTAACTAAAAGCAAAATAATTAAACAAAACAAGCAAATTAAAATGTCGGGTTTAATTCAATGGGAGAAAGCTCTGGGAGAAACACCGGGATTCACTACCTATCCTATCCAAATTAATTCACATATTCCAATTAATTTAATCCATATCTCTACAGCCAGGATATCACGAATGTGCTAGCTATCCCTGTCGGGAATTACTACGTACTAAACAATTTAATCAAATCCTACTGTCGTAGCTCAATGACCTAATTATTTAGCCTGAAGATCGATATCCTATTTAAGACCTCATAGCCCCTTATTTAATCCACTGTCGCTTCGATAAGTTACTATGTCACATGAAATAGGTTCATTTATTAGGGTTTCACTGTCGCTAATAACCTAATTAACTACAAATCGATGTATTGGTGGCCAGTCAACACAAAGCATTAAGAAATTTCATGCAATAGAGATTGGAAGAAAAGAATCATGAATCAATCCATCAAATCAAGAAATAGCTACATCCTATGGTGTTTCCCCCAGAAATTGGGGTTTAGTTCATGACAAAATTGAGATAAAGCATTAGGGTTTTGTTCATCATGTTCTAAATCAACAAGAAACAACTAAATCGGTTTAGAAAATCCAACCAACTAATCGCTCTCGTTGAATTCAGCTCAGTTAGCCTTGGAAAAACTCAATCGCCGATGGAAATCGACTGATCGCTCGATGCCTGCTGCTGCCTTGCGCTTTGCTCTCTCTCCAAAGGATTTTCGCCTCCTTTTCGAAACAATAAATGCCGCCCTCTTATTTATAATCCTCCCCCACTTCCGTGCCTTTTTTGTATTCCCACCAAAGAATTTCGTTGCCCCCCACTCAAGTTGCCCCAGCCGCCTTCCTTTTCCTTTTCCTCTTTTACCAAGACTCCGCCCTTTTTCCCATTTAATCTTCCGCCCACAATCATCAAAAATCCAAGTGGAAGTTCTGCCTCCGCCCATTAATTCTCCTCTCCTGGCCCAAACATTAAATCCGCCCTTCTTCCCTTCTTTGGCAATCCCTGGGCCCAAAATAGCCGGTCAAAACAATAATACAAGTCCTCCCCTGCTGCCTGCCTTTGGCCCAACAAATTACTCCCAAGCCAGCTGGGCATTAAGCCCAGCTTTCGAGAAATGTTTGCCGGTGCAACTTCTTCTTCGTGTTTTCTCCACCTACATCATATCAAACTCATGGCACTAGGCAGTAATGGTTTTTCAACCATTCTCGGGTTAGGGAGCCCTAAAATAGCACCAATTGGCTAAAACATACCATGAATAATCACATAAAGTCCAAGAATCTGATATATTAAAGCCGAATATCACAACCCCACACTCAATTGTTGCTTGTCCCTAAGCAACGACTCAAACAACACAAACACAAAATCATCCAAAACAATGACACATTACAGACTCAACAATCAAACACTCAAACAAAACAAAACAAAATTTTCCTTGTACTCTTGTTGTAATCAGTAGTTTCTTTCTCAACGGACAAGTTGTGCTTTAATGGTCATACCTTTCACCCCACACTCAAGTTCTTTGCAACCATTACCATTGACTGACTCAAATCCATCAAAAACTCAAATAGCAACACTCAATTTCGATCATCGGTAGTGGGTGGTTAACAACTTATGGATCAACAGTTATTAGGAGAATCTAACCACATCAGTGAGGTGCATATCTCGTGAGGACAATCGAGCTTACTCACACCAATCATAAACAATTAATTAAGCATGAGTCTCAAAAAATAATGGGGGAAGCCTTTCGCAAACATGATTTTAACTTTAAGCACATCACTAACTTTTATGACAAGGAGAGGCTTTCTCTCTTTCTGCTTTTGCTTGCCGAGAGGTCGTAT